GCCCCTTTTTTTTTTTTTTTTTTGTCAAGCTCTTCCCTGGAGCTGAAAACACACAAGAGTGAGCAGAAACCAACTGGCATCTGATCTCCAGGAACTGACGGCTCAGTGGGGAGGCAGACGATAATCCAAGGGTCTCACAAATAGCGGTGAGATGTCTGAGGAGGCCAGGCTCAGCTGCTAGGAGAGTGTGCATTGAAGCCGTTGGGGATATTCTGGAAGGCCAGGGAAGGAATGCTTCATCTAAGAGGGGGCACAGTATGTGCAAATGCCCTGCACTGTTTCCAGTACCGGGGACTCTGCGGGTGAGGCTTCTCCTGGTAGGATTTGGGGAAAGTTGTTGATTGGTACATTAGAGAAGTCATAGAAGCCAACTGATATTGTTACCTTTTTAAAAACATCAGTATGTATATAAACTTTGGTATACACAAGTACACTTTTTCTTGCAGGATAGCATCTACTATCTTTCTGACTACATATTCTGGTTCCAGAATCGGTAACAGGGAAGGACAGCTAGGGAGTAAAAAAGAAAAAAAACAAAAACAACCAAAATTAACAAATTAATAAAAACAGTTCTTGCACATTAAGCATAAAAAGACTGTAAGACATTATCATTTATTTGCTTTGTTCCCTCCCAGATTTTATCTACTTCTATATTTACTCCCTGATTATCAACATGGTAATAACTGGAATTTGAAATGGAAAATGATGATTCTAATGAATACACTGATGTATAATATGCATATAAGTAAAACCACATTAAAGAAATGATCTATTAGTATAAAGCAAGTCTTTGAAAAACGAATTTCCTGTCATCTCCATGAGATGCAGAATGGGGAATTTGTGTCCCTTTAAGTGATTTTCAGTCCTTCTGTGGAATCAGGGATGAGGGGAGGAGGGAGTTGGGTGGCAGAAAAGGAATGTGATTGAGTGCTGGGGAGACAGGTGAGCAGATCCAGGCTACAGGGTGGCTGCGAGTGAGACACAGCTTTGATAAACCATTCACATTAAACCCAACATCTTAAATATAAGCATTTCTGAGTAAAAAATAAATTCTGAGACCATTCATAAATCATGCTGAATCCGAGAGTAATCCATTTTTAAACAACTTTAAAAAAACAGTTAGAAAAGCCCAGCTGAGTGGCTCAGTTGGTTGAGTGTTGCCCTGTGCACCGAAAAGTTGCCAGTTTGATTCCTTCTCTAAGTATGTCCTGAGGTGAGGATTTAAAAAAGTAAAAATAAAAATAAAAATAAAAAAACAGATAGAAAAAATAAAAAGGCAATTATTTTTTAAAATGCAGTTTCTTTGATCTTACAGGTTATACTTACCCAGTAGTACAACCTTCAAACATTCCAGTGTTTATAAAAAATGGGCACACAATAGTGGTTTTGATCCCCTTTATTTTCTGGGCAAATAGTTCGAAAAAAATAGATTCAGCAAATCCATAGCCTGCAAATTTACTTGCACAGTAATCTGAAAAAGACAAACAATGCTGATGTACCTTCTGAAGTTTTAAAAATGGCTTTGCATTAAGTCTCCTCATAACACTAGCCAACAGAAAACCAGACGACGATTTCAGAGTTCTTGTTCGTGTGTTGGTCCACTCCGACTGGAAGAAGTGCAGAGTGAGTGGGGAGGTACACGGTCACACAAAGTTCAGTTGATAAGACCGAGTGGATGCTGGAGAGCCTCCTACAGTCACACTCCTAGCCTTTACTTCCACGTTATGAATGGTCAGACATGTGCTAGCTGTTATATGGGGCACATGGCATGTGCATCTAGGCCCAAAGAATTTCAACCCAATTGGGGCAGGAAGGTACATAAAAGAGGAAATATAGTAAGCGATGCAGTAGGCTAGACAAGAGAGGGCAGCCTGGGTCATGATACTCGGATCAAAGTTTCTTCCAACTCTAATTCTTTCTCCCACTTTCAGAAGAAAAACAAAGGACTCAGTAGCTTGTCCATTTTGAGCTTGCTGTCTTCAATCACTCTCACTTCAAGTAAACACCTGGATTTTCAATCTGCTGCATGGAAAAGTTTGGAGTAGAAAAGGCATGTAGATGAGCTCCTCCTTCCCTTTGCCTCACACAGGCAAACGAGGTAAACGTACTTGCTCTGTTCAGAAGCGGCTACCACAACTGGCAAAAACCAGGAAATGAGTGCCAGGCGCGGGGATGTCAGGCCCACTGCTGCTCAAGAAGGCAGGTAAGACCATAGAGGGAGGGAGGGGAGAGGAGTCCTGACCAGCTTTTAGGATCATCTGAGTCATTTGGTACAAATGCAGCTCACTGAATTCCCAACCCTGGAGATTAGGGGAGCAGCTACGGCCCAGGACAAGGGAATCTGCATTACAAATAACACCCTTGGTGATTCTGATGCTGGGGAGCCAAGACCCCCACGGTGGGATTTACAAAAGGCTTACGCTTGTTTCTAAGGCCAGCTGGGGATGGGAGACTCCTTCTGAAGATAGAGAGATACGGCGTCAGAAGAAAGATTAACAGAAGCTGTAAATATACCTGCATTATTTCAGAGTTTCATCATTTATCAGACATATAAGAGAGAGGTAATGCTAATATGTGATGATTTCTGAGAATGACAGAGTACAGGGAGATGTGCACAGACTGATAATATTTTGGGTGACTGGTGGTTCTGGAAAACCTCTTCACCCAATTGAGATGAGCTGGGCCTAGACTGGTACTGTGAATCTTGGATTAAGCGGCTCAGCTCCAAAGCATCAGGAAGTGCCCCACGGGAAGGTTGGCCAAAGTTATCCGAGTATTGCAGCTAGGGCTTCTGATGCCCGAGTCTCAGGGATCTGCATCAGTACACGGAATGTTGCTCCTGGGGACGCCCTGGTAGGGAAGGATGAGACTTCTGCTCCTCCGGAGCCCCCTCCTGAGTTGGGCTGCCTTCACTGAAGATCTTGGTCTATCTCTTTGCCCCCTCCCCACTGCTAATGACAAGTCAGCTGCAGGGGAGATGGAAGTGGCAACCACTTCCTTTAAGTCTTCCAATCAGTGGAAAAGCAAAGAGGTGAAGTTTAGGTTTCTTGGGGTGGAGAAATTATCTCCAAACTGACAGCAGGGGGAGACTTCAGAAGGCAGAGTGGTCGTCCCTACTAACCTGAAAACAGTACCAGATGAATTTTGGGGATGGTGACTATGCTAATCACTTATGTAAAAACAGTCATCAGTAAGGTGTCTCCTCTCTCTCTCTCTCTCTCTCTCTCTCTCTCTCTCTCTCTCTCTCTCATTTTTAAACCCAGGGGACTACGTAAGACCTAATGATTCCAAAGTGCATACTTCAACTTCCGGTAGGTATAACTGATGGGCAGTTTTGATGCATTATGTAGTTCTCAACCACTTCCCTTTTTAAATATACTTCTTAATTTTTTAACTTTATTATTGGTGCATCAGGTCAATGCTGATTACTCAGAGCTATTATGTAAGTTAGAGCTAGGGAAAATGTGCCAGTGTGAAATATTACACTTTTCTTACCTGCCAGCCCATTTACTCCAAATAATCCAGCTGAGCTTGAAATGCAAACCAAGTGTCCATGCGAATTAGCGATCATAGCAGGTAGAAAGGCTTTATAAGTCTAAGATGAGCAAAGTAAAACTTTTAATATTTTATACCACATTTTACTCTTTTTCAGATGTTTATATGATCATTGTGATTAAAAAAATTTTTTTAAGCTCATAAAAATACCTGAAGGCACTGCAATATAAAAACTTAAGTATCTGGAAAGTAACCATCTTAACTTGTTTCACCTATGAAATCAATATTTTCCTCATGGCATACCAATATTATTACAAATAATTTACTCAAACTTACATTTTGCTCATATTTGATTTTTCAAAACACAATATTAAGACAATAATTGAAGCAATACAGGAGAATCTTAGTTGTGGCAGCCACAATCCAGAAAGGAAAAGATATCATTATTTAGATTATAATCAAGAATAAGATTATTTAGATTTATATTGCTCTTTTTCCCCTGGGATCATATTTGAATTTCAAATTTTTTTGAATAGAGTTTACAGGACATGCTGCTATTGGCTTCAGTGTAAAAATATCACTTTGTTTTACATTTATCTCTGCTTCTTTGAATAATAGTTTCTTAATTTTGTTCCATGTCATAAAAGAGAATATCTGTTAGAACGAGGGGACGGATACTGTGTTTGAGGACCACAGAGCACCTTCACCTTTGATATGGGATTTGGAGAAAGAAGATAAAGGAAAGAGCAATGAGCTTTGGGAGAAGATGTATTCTGCAACAGAGAAATAATTAACCTATACGAATAACTGCATTTTATTTCATAAATTTGTATTTCTTTTTTTTTTTTGGCTTAAAACAACACAAATTTATTCTTACAATTCTTTAGGACAAGAGTAAAAAAAGGGTTTCACTGGGCTGAAATCAATGTGTTATCAGGACCACATTTTCTCCAGAGGCTTTAGAAAAATATCTGTTCCTTTTCCTTTTCCAGCTTCTAGAGATCATCTACCTCCCCTGGCTCGTAGCACCCTTCCTACCAGCAGCCCCAACACCCTGAACTCTGTTTCTGTCGCCAAATTGCTTTCTCTTTTCCATAAATTTATATTTCATATTTGTTTCCTACTATAAATAAATATGAGAAAAAGAATCTCTTGTAAAAGTCAACCAACCTCTGTCTGCATCATAATGAGTTTCAGAGAGAACCTAACACTTACAGAGAGGAGCAAAATCAAAACAAGCAGCATAATAAAAACCGTGGCGTCTGCTCTGAGTCACTTCTCCCTGGCAACACTCCCCCTTGGGAGCCCTGTCACCATGCGCTCTCTGACCCTCTAGCAACTAAGTGCCCACTCTGTGCAAGTACTCAAAGAACGTACCTGGACTTGCTCAGAAAAAGGGTACAGAGAGGGTGTGAGGGGAGGTCAGGGCCAGCAGGGGAACATCAGTATTTCAGGAACACGTAGAGAAAGTGGAAGAGAAAGAAGAGAAAGAGGAGACCATGAAAGAGACCAGGAAAGCTGAGAGGTGGGGAAAGAACATGAAAGCCCCGGAGTGGAGATTTTCAGGGACACTGTCTTTGTCTTCCTTCTGACGGGATATTACAACTTCATTCTAATGCAGCAGAGGGGCATTTGGGACAAGACAACACAAGTCACTTGCAGTAGTTCCTGAAGGAGCATGGTGGCCACTGAGTTCTGAATCTTTCCATCTTTCTCTTGAAAACTAAAGAGAACCCCAAGAGTACCACCATGGCATTTTTGGTGAAACTAGGAGACAGAAAACCTACAGTCTCTCAAAGCTGTGCAAGGAGAGTTGAGTGGAAAGTCCACGTGGAGAGGTGTGAGGAGAATGGAGGGGATCTCAGAAATCTCCAGCAAATAATCACTCTCAGAAGCAGAGCTGGACAAGGGAAGGATGAGCTATGAGTGGGGCGGGAACAAAATGGGCTCACGTGCTGGGAGAGGCAGAACGAGGGACCGTGCCTGGCATGGGGCGGCCTGACATGACTGGTCTCAGCTACAGCCAGGAAAACACAGTGTCTGAAAGTGGGCACATGGCTGTGCTCCTTGATGTCCACAGCACGCAGTCACCAGGGTTATTGGTAGAAACCTTTCTTTCCCTGGGTAGGTACTGAGTCAGGAGACCGAATGTTTTGGTTTGCTCAGAACAGACCTGGTTAATGTTGCTTATTAAGAATGCCCTCTTTCGCTTTTTTCAAAAGAGTTGCATCTTAGGCAAATGATAAGGTCACTCTGGCCAAGTCTAAGTGCTGTCACTTGCTGTGTAGCCTTGAGTAAGTCTTTTAACTTTTGTGATTCCTTATCTCAAGGAGCTGTTTTAAGGCTCATGCCTGAGGTGCCTAGGGCAGTGAATAAATGATAGTAGTACCACGAGGACAGTGTGTCTTTGTAGGATTCCCTGGCGAGTTCTGGGAGTGTGGGTTGAGTTGGATTGGGAGAAGATGACTGGGTAGACCAGGATAAGCTAAAATTGAGAAGACTGCTTTATTTAGAGGCTAATCTTTGTCATGAGAAGAAAAAATTATTACCCACAAATGTGCTTTGAAATTCACATCAAAAGCCTTTTCGATAAGCTCATCCGGGCAGTCGAGGAACCTTTTGCCTGTTACGATGCCAGCATTGTTGATTAGAATGGAAATGTCACCAACTTCTTTTTTAACCTGAATTGAGTAACAAGAGCAGCACCATCAACGTAGTAATTTCTTATATGATCTAGGTTTAATTCCCCCCCAACTTAAACCTTGTTAAGAGACTGAGCTTATGCAGTCTGGAAACAAAGCATGTTTTATTTCCTTTGCTGAGTATACAGTGCATCAGCGATCCAAGTCTGATGCTTTTCTTTTTATTTCTTCTTCTCCTTATGATAATTCCAGCAATGCAATGCTGCTTTCCTTCTACATTTAGAGCTATTCTTATATTTGGTGAGTAGTAACTTTGTTCTATGCTCTAAGAAGCATATAATTTTAATCAATGTGATGGGACATACGCCCTTATTGCCATCTATATATATAAAGGCTAATATGCAAAGTGTCCCCTCGGGAGTTCGACCAACTGGCAGTTCGATCGCTCACTATAACATGCACTGACCACCAGGGGGTGGCATGGAATAAAGGAAGGTCCTGGCTGGCAGCTGGCAGCTGGCAGCTGGGAAGGAAGGCCCCGGCTGGCAGGACCCTACCCGTGCACAAATTTCATGCACTGGGCCTCTAGTCCTATATAATAAAAGCCTAATATGCTAAGTGTCCGGTCGATATGTCATCCGTTCAATCAATCAAAGCATAATATGCTAATGATATGCTAAGGCTGCTCAACCTTAGCATGCTATGATATGCACTGATCACCAGGGGGCAGACGTTCTGACTGGTAGGTTAGCTTGCTGCTGGGGTCTGGCCAATCAGGACTGAGCGAGACAGTCTGGACATGCCCTGGAGATCTCCTGCTGTCCCTCTCCAGCTGGCCAACCTCCTGTATCCCTCCCTGGCCCCGATCGATCGTGAACCGATGGGGTCACTTGGCCTGGCCTGCGCCCTCTCGAAATCCAGAGCCCCTCGGGGGATGTTGGAGAGCCAGTTTTGGCCTGATCCCACAGGCCAGGCTGAGGGTCCCCACTGGTTCACAAATTCATGCACCGGACCTCTGGTGTCATATAAATCAAGACCTAGCAGACACAGAGATGGGGTGGCGTAGGGAGTGAATGGAGGAAATATGATATTCAGTATATCCATGCTTTCAACACACATCATGGTTCAGAACCTGTCTATCCTGTTTTCATCAACTGGCTGGCTTTCTTCTCCCTCCCCCAAACTTTTAGGCATAAGATCTGTGAAAGGAGGAACAAGTAGGCACATTTGCTACGATGACACTGGGCCTACAGTAACTTGAGTGGTCATCCTGGGATGAGAGTAAGTTTGTGTTGTTTTATAAGGGGCTCAGGGGTAACATCTAAGGGAAAACGCAGCAGATCCTAATTTTATACTTAGTTTTCTTTCTTTCTTTCTTTCTTTCTTCCTTCCTTCCTTCCTTCCTTCCTTCCTTCCTTCCTTCCTTCCTTCCTTCCTTCCTTGTTTTTTTCCTTCCTTCCTTTTTTCTTTTTTTTTTGGCATTCATTATTCTTCCTTGTTGTAAGAATGTGGCAATAATCTCTTCAGCCCTGGGTGACAACTCCAGGAAGACTTGCACATAAGCTGTGCCCACCTTTTGAATAGCCACACTATGACAATAAGAACCCACAGGAAGGCTGTGCATGCCAGTGTCTAACTCCACACTGCTCAGGATGGCTGATTTGACTTTTCCACCACTATAAGTCATAGTGGGCAATAGGTTAAAGTCAACTTCTACCAGTGACCACGTGGTTTAAAAGATGAAGCAATCCTGAAGTTTGACCTTGGACATCTGGAATCAGTAATAAACCTTAAAAAAAATTCACTGATACTACAAACACACCTCATTTTTACAAATAAGGCAAGACCCTTCAACAGCAAAAAGATGACAATTCACTTTATTGAGTGGTCTGCAACTGAACCCTCAATGTCTCAGCAGTATGCCTGTAATGAGGTGGGGGTTTTTTTTCTGTTGAACCAATGCAGTCAATTAGAGGTATGCCAAGCAAAATTGATTATGAGTTGGCTTGTCTAAGGCATCACAGTTATTAAATATATAGTTAGGATACTTCCACATGCCACATTAAGGGTATGTGACAACTATGTAGCTCCAGGCTGGTCTTGTGTTTACTGTTCCCAATGACCTCTCACCCAGGATGCCAGGTATCAAGGCTGGACTTTCAGTGCCAACTATGCTCTAGGGCAGGGGTGGGCAAACTTTTTGACTCGAGGGCCACAATGGGTTCTTAAACTGGACCGGAGGGCCGGAACAAAAGCATGGATGGAGTGTTTGTGTGAACTAATATAAATTCAAAGTAAACATCATTACATAAAAGGGTACGGGTTTTTTTTTTTTTTTTTTAGTTTTATCCATTTCAAACGGGCCGGATCCGGCCCG